TCAAATAATAAGATACACACTATCTCTCTGTATATGCACACACTGTATAGAGACATTGGTAGATGTAAACATGTTACAATGACATGGTGAACAGACTGTGAGTCACAATTATTAATATGGGACTACTGATATAAACTTCTTGTATTTTATATGTACAATAAGCAGATTAACTGCAACATAAAGGGAAAAAAAGATGAGATAAGGTTAGAAAGCATGAAGTTCACGAATGCGAATGCAACCCATAGCAACACATTATGACAACGACGTCTCAGATAGTCTGATGGCAGATAAAATAAATAGTAAATAAATTACTGTAGACTGCAGTCACGCACGCACATTTGAGTGTTTTATTTTCCTTTTAATAGCGATGGAGTGTTGAAAGTGCATACCACCACCTATTGTATGACACCTGCATGACAGCTAAAGAATCACCCGTGGATCGGGCTTAGGAGAGCCAATACCAATCAGTTAAAAAAATCTCTCTCTCTCACACACACACACACACACACACACAATATATATATATGTACATATATATATATGTATATGAAGAGTTCATTTGCAAAAACCGATAACAATTTTTTTCAGAAATCAAGTTTTTTTTTATTGCGCATTCCAAGTAATATCAATCAAACTGCAGTTGGGTTGTTTTGATTAAGTAATAATAACTTAAACAAATACATGTAATTTACTAAATTTAAGTTAATTGAAAGTATGTTTTTTTACATATTAAAAGTTTGTTTTATAGCAAAAGCAGATAACTCCAACAGTCGCTTTTTGGCAAAAGCAGATAACTCCACATTTCATGTTTTAGAGTTAAAAAAACACTCGTTTAATCTTTGTAATCTCCTCAGATGACAATGTAGATGCCTGACAAACGTTGTTGTTGTTGTGATCAAAAACTGTATGGATGCAATTACACGCAATACACGGAGCTTTTCCCTCACCACTGTAACGCGTTGCTTTTGCAAGGTTCCATGAAAACGTTTCAGCTTTAATTTTCCTTTTTCGCACTGAAGAAGATATCACAGGTTAATCAAATTATCCATCCTCGATCACCTTTAGTCAGCTTTGACGAAACTCCTCTCAGCTAGCACGTCTGTTCTTTTTTAAAGTGGCGTTTATCGGTTTTTCCAAATGAACTCTTCATATATATATTTATATATATTTATATTTATCCATTCTTCTGTGTGAACTACTTCCTTCCGCCACGGAGCCAAATCTAAAGTTGACAGTTTAACAGCTGAGCCCAAGCCTCTGTTACTAATTCCAAAACGTCACTTTAGAACTAGTAACGAAGAAATGTTGAGTTGCTTCATTAAAAGCTTATTGTATTACTGTAGTAAAAGCGGTTTGTGTGTGTGTGTATCTATGTAGATGTACTCACCCCCTACAGCTTCCAAGTGTGGAAAAGAATATTTACAATACTTTACAAAATATACAAAATGGAAATGAGACGGACAACAATTTATCAACTCAAAACCAAAATTAACACTGCACACAACAGGCAGATCAACAGGCAAGCTAACAGCAACAACACACTGTAGCAAACACACAATGGCTGCGTCCGAAAGCTCTAAAATGCTGCCTTCGGAGGCAGCATTCCAAGGCAGGAAGGCATCAATGCACGTCCGAATCCAAATTCTGCTTTACTTCCTGTCTCTGGAGGTACCTTCTTCTGATCGAACTTTGAAGGCAGCATAGATGTATCCTTCGCTGCCTTTGATATCCCACAATCCTGTGCGTTCCATTCCGTGACGGTTAAGCTAATAAATAAAGATGGCGTCTGAAAGTTGCATTTGGTGGTCAGTTTGTGTGTAAATGTATATTTCTGACTAACTTTTTGCACTTTTGATGTTATTTCTAGCGAGAAATCAGTATTATAGTAATTAAGTATTCATTTAGTTATCACCAAAACTTATTCTATTTTGTTGTAGATCATTAAACCGTTACGCTGCCTCATAAGCCTGTCCGAAATCAGTTTCATGAGGTGCCTTCGTGCAAAAACGCTGCCTGCAAAGTCATTGCCTCATACGGCAGCGAGGCAGCAATTCAGCTGCCTAAGTTTTTGGATGCAGCCAATAACACATGTGCAATAGAACAACAGGAAATCACAAGTTGAGCAGAGCTCCCCCCTCAGGTGCTGCAGATCCATTTATTGCCTCTCCTTGGTCCCATTAGCACCAGTCAGATCTGGAGATCACTTTGGTAGGATCCAATCCTGTGAAAGAAAGGGTGGGACAAAAGAGAGAGAAAGAACCAGCAAAGCAAGACATGTACAAAAATACATCACAAGTCGTAACATGTTGCAAAATACAAACTATATTATTGCCCAGCTCTAATCTGCTATATGCAACTGTGAAGCAGCGTATTGTGAAAAGTACTATACAAATAAAACTGGTTTAAAAGACATGGATTAAGAGTCACACAAGTCTGATTTCATGGAGTCTGTAAAACTGCCTGTATTAGAGGATTTGAAGTATAAATCCACCAGAGGGATCTCAGCATTACTCCTTGTCTCTGATGTGCAGATCGGCTATTACCATCTTCCCCCAGAGGACAGACGGGAAGCATGACTTCCGGGTGTGGAACAGCCAGTTGATCCGGTACGCAGGCTACAAGCAGCCTGATGGATCAATTATCGGAGATCCGGCTTCGGTGGAGCTTACAGAGGTGAGATGGGAAGCTACATTGCAATAGTTTCGATTGTCAGAGTCACAGGCATCAAAAAAGCCGCCTACTGACATATTGATTGAAGCATGTTACCAGTACATACAAAAATAAAGAGTCAAACTGATTGATAAAAAACATATTTTGTGACATCATGGGCATTTCTTGTTATCACTGGGTTGATTGTTAATTGTGTTTGAGTTGTTTTTTGGCATGCAAAATCCAGCTTAAGCTGGTGTCTGTGTTTTGGAACCTGTTAGCTGGTTTCTAGCTGACTTAAAGAAGTCTTTAGCAGGTTCAAGATGGTCATTAGCTTGTTGACCAACTAACATATTCCAAAAAAACAACAACTGTAATGCTGGTTTTTGACTTGTAGATCTGTATACAGCAAGGATGGAAAGCTCCAAAAGGCCGTTTTGACGTTTTGCCCCTTCTTCTCCAAGCCAATGGAAACGATCCAGAGCTTTTTGAGATTCCTGATGATCTTGTGCTTGAGGTTCCCATCATACATCCAAAGTAAGAAGAACCAAACATATTGTAGTTTTATTGGGGTTCACACTAATGCTCATCAAGCTTGTGTAGAAACATTACTGAATCACACCAGTTCTTAAAACACTTTGCACCTCAAATGTTCATCCACCCAGAATCTGATAATAGTCTGCGTCATACAGTACGTACCAAAGGGAAATCGCATATTAGAGAGGCTGTAATGCGCAGAGCTTTAGGATGCATAGCAACAGAGAACTCAAGCTGAGAGCTTGCCTCTTGTGCACGTACATTCAGGAACATAGGCTAATGTGGAATAAAACTTGCCCTTTTTCCAGATCCTGCCTCAGTTTGCTTGTTTAATGCTGTCTGTTTGACACTGATGTGTCTCAGATGATCAGATACTTGGGTCCTGAGATACTCTGTGTGTCACAGGTCTAGATAAGAGTGAATTGTCCATCATGCATCTATATATTTTTTAATGAATCAGCGTTGAAAAGAATTTAGCACGAGTTACCATTAAATTAAGCATTGATAGCTACTAACTCAAAAGTCATGCAGACAAAGTTAAACTTCTCATCAAAGGGTAAAAGTGGACAAATGCAATTAAATTGAATAAAATGAATAAATAATATAAACAAAATCGTTTTCAGCTACATGTTCTAGCAAATGGGTAAAGTAAAACAGAACACTTTGCTCATATACTGCCCACGTGCAAAAATAAACAGCTTTTTTTAAGTGTAAATGAAAATGACCTTTGCGGACCTAATGCATATTGCGTACCACTCTGCAATAGGGCGTTTTTGAAGATTTTGAAGTAAACCTTGAATTCAGTGTTGAAGGATGGCTAAAACATACCTGTTTTATATACTCAATGTTCCTGTGTTTTAAAATGTGTGGGTGTTTCTTTTTTATATGTGAGCAATTTTACCATCATGAAGTCAAACTGCACAAGTCAAACATTCTTAGGAAATGGCATCTCATGACAATTCATAACTATTATACATTTTGGCCTATAGTGACTAATTTGTGGAAATTTGGATAATCTCATTTGTACGTTTTTGAACGATCTCAAGCCTCAGTTAGGGTTATGTTTAGGGATGGACCGTCATGCTTACTATTTTTCTAGAAATTATACATTTTCATTTCAGACATATGAAATCATAAAATAGTTGTTTTCCCATGAGATCAGGTTGGAAATGTCCACAGCCTTGAAACACTAATAGAAAAACAACAATTTTCAGCATTTCACTTTTACCTGAATTGACATAATGCCCATTATTGAAAGTTTGCCTCAAACTGCTCAAAGAAATGACAAGCCAAATAAACATATGTAAATAGAGGAGATGCATTTACATATTATTTATTTCAGCCATTCCACCAGAGTACTTGTGTTTACAGCATTAATAACAGACACAGGCGGATTTGCCCTCTTAGCGCAACACCTGAGAAACCGGCAGGTGCCGGTTTAGAGATAATGACAGTTTTGGCGGTGCTCACTATGTGCGCATTTACTGACAGAGAAATTATGATGGAAACTGTAAACGGAATACTCTAAAAGCTTAATGGTGTACATCTGCATATGCCAAGATATTCTACTGACTACATTATGTTATGCAAATAAACCTCAAGAACCTTTCGCTGAAAAACATTTCCGCATGCAACTTTTCTCCCTGCGCTGGGTTCAATATTGACCGTCCTGCTGTCTGTGTCTGTCTAGGTTCGAATGGTTTAAGGCGCTGAATCTAAAGTGGTATGGCCTTCCTGCTGTGTCTAACATGCTGTTAGAGATCGGGGGACTGGAGTTCACAGCCTGCCCCTTCAGCGGCTGGTACATGGGGACAGAGATCGGCGTCAGAGACTTCTGCGACAGCTCTCGATACAACATACTTGAGGTACCATACTGTACCAGACAGCCATAAATCACCCTTGCACCATTGAGAAGTTGTACTTTTTATACTGCATTACCACAGTTTGAACCCAGACTGCATTACATTTGATCATTATAAATGTCATGCATATGCATTAGACATTGTACCCCAACAGGACATTAGGAATGACACGTTTGTGTTTGATGAGCCGTTACAATGGATTAAGTTGATTATACGCTATATTACGCACTGTTTATCCTGTTTTGAATTGCTCTCTTTAATTTATGCAGATTTTAATTCATAAACATGCTGTTTTTAATCATCATTATGTTACTCATTCAGTATTACAATCTCTCCTCCATATTCCCTTTATGCTAAAAAATAAATTCACTTACAGTTTTAACTTCTAAAAGGCAATAATAGCCCAACTGGCCTATATAATCAGCTTGCTTTACCACATATAAATATATATACTCAAATATATCCTAATAATCTATAAGATCACTCACTCACCTTCATGTTATTACAAACCCATCGGATGTTATATATCTATCAAATATAATTTAAAAACTTTTAAGAATCAGCTTTCAGAAGGTTTTTAAGACATATTCATGGCAAGTGTGTCCAATCTTTTGACTATAGAATGTCTTTTTAGAGAGTCTTACTGTCAGACTCTGTTCCATGTTTCGTGTGTGTCCTGCTCCCCATGTGCCTTCCCATGCCCTTATTTGGTTTGTTTCCTGTTCCTCCCCTGATTAAGTTGATTTCTTCCCAGGTGTGTCCCTTGATGTGTCATGGCTCCCAGGTGTGTCTCGTCATCCCCTCCTCCTGTGTGTGTGTATATAAAGTGTTCCCAGCCCCTAATTCTCTGTCCGATGTTGAAGGTCTTCGTGTGATCTGCTGCAATACACGCCAATCTGTGGATTTAATTGTAGGTTGTATTGACTTACGTCAACATGCTGCATTAAGCATCACAAGAAAAAATGCATTTGAAAATAAGAATGCATACAATTGTTGCTGTTTGTATGCTGGGAAAACGCACTGGATTTGTGTCAGATAAAAAAAAAACCACACACACACAATTTGGGGATTGGGCTATATTATGGACATTTTCTTTGTCAAGCATTGAGATTTTATTGATTCTATTCTTTATGATTCTATTAGAGAACATATAATAATTGGGTAACGCTTTACAATACGAGTGCACAAATATGATCACAGATAATCACCAGTTATGGAATTAGTTAGTCATGTGCCTCAACAAGTAAAGTCATAACATAATGATATCTTTGCAAATCATTAGCTAATGAGTAATTAAAGCAGACAACTGGGAGTTGAAATGCATGGCTTTGACCCATTGTGGTAATTAACAGATAAATTTACACATTAGTTAATATAATATGTTATTAGGGAATTAATACATTATCACACATTTAACAAATAGCAATTTATTAATTACTTAATCTATGAATCATGTAGAATGTTCATTTGTTGCTGATGCAGTAATTATTAATAAATGGTTTAGTTCTTCATGATTACCTGTGCATTAGTTAAGCATGAATTAATACATATTAGTGCCACCGTATTGTAAAGTGTTACCAATAACTGTAAACTATATTACATTTAAAGACAATATACTTGCCAAAAAATACTTTAGAATATTAAGTAACCCCAAAAACTATAATCAACAAGAAAATATGTAACTTTTCATTATTTACTTGTTTTAAGAATCAGTTTTTATAGTGTAGCTGTTGTATTTTTTGCATGAGGCGCTGCTTGACTAGCTTCATCAGAAAGACCATACTGGTTGATTAGCTTCACAAGCTGCATTTAATCTTAGTTTTGGTCTGATCTGGTCTCACTCTTTCCAATTTTTCCTTGTAGGTGTCAAAGGTTACCATAGTAGACCATCACTCAGCCACCGAGTCCTTCATGAAGCACATGGAGAATGAGTACAGAGTGAGGGGAGGCTGCCCGGGTGACTGGGTTTGGATAGTGCCGCCCATGTCAAGCAGCATTACACCTGTTTTCCATCAGGAAATGCTCAACTATCGCCTTCGTTCCTCGTGTGTGTGCACCCCATGACACTTACGGTGGCTCCAGATCTTCCTGATCTATAGAGGCAGATCACGAGTGGCAGTTCTATTAACCTTGGTTCAGATCCTGAGAGAATACAGTATGAATAGTCTATCTGTACAGTATGATTAATTCCCTTCATTTCAGGAAGTAGCTACAATGATGGGGCTGGACACGAGGAAGACTTCATCCCTGTGGAAGGACCAGGCACTGGTAGAGATCAACATCGCAGTCCTTTATAGTTTCCAGGTGGGGTGAGCACACATGGATGGGGATGAATTTAATAATAATTTTAAAAAAAAAGTCAAAATCTTAAGATACAGCCTATTTTAATACCATTTAGAGTTCAGACAATGTGGCTTTATTTTAATCAAAATTAAGTCTGATACTTGAATTGTCAATATTGTCTGGAGATTAACAATAAACAATTACATGAATATAAATAATCAAATAAACACACACATACATATAATACTGTAATAAATAAAATCATAATCAGTATAAATTACAGGCAGTGCAATTTTTTTTTTTTACACTAATGATAATAATTAGATGTGGAGATGTGCTAGTTTGTCATATAAATAATGTCACAACACCAAAAAGAAGCTCTTAAAAACAGACTATATGCATATATGTGACCCTGGACCACAAAACCAGTCTTAAGTCGCTGGGGTATATTTGTAGCAATAGTCAAAAAAACATTGTATGGGTCAAAATTATCGATTTTTCTTTTATGCCAAAAATCATTAGGATATTAAGTAAAGATCATGTTCCATGAAGATATTTTGTACATTTCTTACCGTAAATATATCAAAACTTCATTTTTGATTAGTAATATGCATTGCTAAGCACTTCATTTGGACAAATTTCCTAACAAACCATACATCAATGGAAAGCTTGATTTAGCTTATTTCAGAAAATTGACCCATATGACTGGTTTTGTGGTCCAGGGTCACATATATAATAGGCTTTATATAGACTTTATACAAAATGTAATTTCTAATTCTTTTTTTTTTTCTTTTGATTTTGTTGTCAAACTCAGCCCAGACATGTTTTTGACAAGCTTTGTGAGGTTCACCCACATATAATCTTACACTAGTCTAATTTTCAGTCACGTTTACCTATTTTTGCCAGTATCTCATTTTTTTCAGTTAATCTCTTTACACAGCTTCTCCTAGAGCCTAAAAGCAAATCCCTGCGTTCACGTTCATGCAGCATTCATAAAGACTCATGCAAGCGAACAAAGCATAAACCGGCTTTCACAAATCAAAAGCTTGAATCTCTTCTGTTCTATTTATTAGAGTTAAGCACCTAGGACATTTAACTGAAAGCTCCTGTGACTGAAGAAACATTTTTATACAATTCAATTTCTGGGTTTTAGTACTCTTTGCAGAACTCTGTTACAATCACTTGATCACAATCAGCCTATAGTTCTCATAACTAAAATATGCTCTAGTACTTTCTCTTGCTCTCTCTTTCTTTCACTGTCCAGCTTGACCCGTGGAACACTCACGTGTGGAAAGGGATGAATGGGACACCCACAAAGAAAAGAGCAATTGGATTCAAGAAACTTGCCAAGTGAGTGGGTTAAGAGCTCGAGACCTTCTGCTGTTTGTTTTTGTCTCAAGCACAAAGTGTGCATTGAGTTTAACCTGTATGGTGCTTATGAAGGCCGGCCGTCTGCAGTGCTCAACCTATTTGCCAGCCTTTTGTTGTAATTATAACCCGTAGCCTGGGAACTTCAGCAGGCGGTTGTGTTAATGGCTGTTTAAGAGTGCTTTCCACCATATTTTCCCCGTTATTATGCTGAGAATAGCGTGAGTCTAACTCACTGAATCACACTCAGGTGTAATCAGGTTTCTTTCACTGTCCCTTCAGCGTTCAGCCTCTGAGCTATTACAGTGATTGCCCGCAGGATATACTGTAGCTACGTTTGTGTGATTGTGGTCTCGGAAATGAGGGGAAAGTGTCTGTCAGTGTGTTGAACTCTCGCTGATAGGTGGTGGAAGAGATCATTTTCAGGAACGCTGTTGCACATTTCATAATCGATGAGATTTTTAGTCAAGTCAAGTCGCCTTTATTTATATAGTGCTTTGTACAATACAGATTTTTTTCAAAGCCAAACCACAAAATAACAATCAATTATGCATACTTCACGAACATATTCATATTCTGCTGTAAAGCATCTCTAAAAAGATAAAGGTTCAGGATAACCATGAGTCCTTAAAAAGTCTTAAAATGTCTTAAAGGGGTCATATGATGCTGCTAAAAAGAACATTAATTTGTGTATTTGGTGTAATGAAATGTGTTTATGCGGTTTAAGGTTCAAAAAACACATTATTTTCCACATACTGTACATTATTGTTTCTCCTCTATGCCCCGCCTTTCTGAAACGCGTCGATTTTTACAAAGCTCATCGATCTGAAAAAGCGAGGTGTGCTCTGATTGGCCAGCTATCCAATGCGTTGTGATTGGCCGAAAATGATAATAATTAGATGTGGAGATGTGCTAGTTTGTCATATAAATAATGTCACAACACCAAAAAGAAGCTCTTAAAAACAGACTATATGCATATATGTGACCCTGGACCACAAAACCAGTCTTAAGTCGCTGGGGTATATTTGTAGCAATAGTCAAAAAAACATTGTATGGGTCAAAATTATCGATTTTTCTTTTATGCCAAAAATCATTAGGATATTAAGTAAAGATCATGTTCCATGAAGATATTTTGTACATTTCTTACCGTAAATATATCAAAACTTCATTTTTGATTAGTAATATGCATTGCTAAGCACTTCATTTGGACAAATTTCCTAACAAACCATACATCAATGGAAAGCTTGATTTAGCTTATTTCAGAAAATTGACCCATATGACTGGTTTTGTGGTCCAGGGTCACATATATAATAGGCTTTATATAGACTTTATACAAAATGTAATTTCTAATTCTTTTTTTTTTTCTTTTGATTTTGTTGTCAAACTCAGCCCAGACATGTTTTTGACAAGCTTTGTGAGGTTCACCCACATATAATCTTACACTAGTCTAATTTTCAGTCACGTTTACCTATTTTTGCCAGTATCTCATTTTTTTCAGTTAATCTCTTTACACAGCTTCTCCTAGAGCCTAAAAGCAAATCCCTGCGTTCACGTTCATGCAGCATTCATAAAGACTCATGCAAGCGAACAAAGCATAAACCGGCTTTCACAAATCAAAAGCTTGAATCTCTTCTGTTCTATTTATTAGAGTTAAGCACCTAGGACATTTAACTGAAAGCTCCTGTGACTGAAGAAACATTTTTATTGATATTTATTGCACACCCCCTGCAGTTTGTTTACCCACAAGACCTTATTTCTTGCTAAAAGGCTTTTGCGGAACCGTTTCAACACTGATAAACTAATTAGACGTTAGTAAGTAGCTGTGCTCAGTTTTCTTATCTTTCATAATTGCGGATGGAGTCAAAACAATGGCAGATAACAATTAAATCTACTTGGAAAACTAGACGTGCTGCAATACACGCCAATCTGAATTTAGATCAAATTAAAGGTCATAAAAAGACTTAAATATCTTGTATGTTACAAGAAAAGTCTTAATGATTATTTTTAAAGGTCCTAAAGCAATAACTGTGATACAACTTAATGGAATTATTCAACATCAGAAGGCTGTGATTTAGATCAATGTGAGCACTGCATGTTTTAAAGCACTGTTAAATTATAACAATGTTTATGGTGATTTATATTGTAATATGTTGTAGATGATTGTAAGAGCGCATATTTTTGTCTGGAAGTGACTGCATTTGAAAATAAGAGTCCCCGCGTATTCCAGGCTTGTTTATTGTCAGGATTGGACCTGTTTTGTCATGTGTTTCAGTTCCTGTTTTGCCTTATTTGGTCTTGTTCCTGTCCTTGTTTAGTTTGATTATTAATTGATTCCCCGCACCTGTCTGTCCCTCGTTATCCAGTCCTTATAAGCCCCAGTCTGTTCAGTTTGTATTTGTTGGTTCTACTTGTTGTCTACGTGTGTTGGCTCAAGCGCCTATTGTGGATTATCCTCTGTGTTTCCTTGATTAAAGACTGCTCTCATTTACTCGTGCCTCCAGCGTGTTCCCTCAACAGCGTAACGTGACAGAATTACTGACCAACACAGTTACCTCCGTGTTTTCCCCTCCGTTTGTTTTCTCGTTTTTCTCTGTCTTTTTTTTCCGTTGTGTGCCCTTATGTATCCCCTCGTCCGCCTGGAGTTCCTCCTCCTCCTGCTGGAGCAGGGGGAGCGATCGCTCGAGGACCATACTAGACTGTTCCAGCTGCTAGCTAACATCACCAGTTACCCGGACGACAAGCTTAGTTTAAACACCGCGTGCAGAGCGCCGTCGTCCGAAGATGGTCCTCGAGCAGATTTCACCGCGTTTGTGGAGTGGATTCTGGCGAGAACCGGATCGCCTCTCACCGTCACTCCCGAGGATGATCTCACCAGATCCACTCTGGACCCAGAGCCCAGCCCACCATCTCCCCGCTGTGCAGAGCATCAGCCCGAGCCCACCAATGACGGAGAGCCAATTCCCTACGCGATCTACGAGCCAGCGCAATGCCGAGCGACTGATCGGAGGATCGCCCTGCAAGTAAAGCCCAAGCCATCAGACCAGGTGCGTGAGCTGGCTGCAACGCCCATCGCGAGGGAGAAAGCCGTGGATGGTGAGAGCGCGGAGTGGAGCTCCACCCCTGCACCGAGGGTGAGCTAATGATACAGCTGGGACTGCTGGACTTAGAAGGGGACTTGATAGGCTGGGAAACAGATCTGGAGGTCGACTTGCCCCCTATCCTCTCTCCTTCGTCCCCGCTGGTCCCATCCAGCCCTGAGGGGACTCCCGTTTCCCAGTCCAGCCAGGAGTGGGCTCTGAACCCCGAGGGCAGCCCTGAGAGCCCGGAGGCTCATGAATGCCCACACACCCCCCCGCTCCTGCCTCCTCCACCGCTGTCGTCTGGCAGCCCCTCTGCCCCGCCCGCTCCTGCCTCCTCCACCACTGTCGTCTGGCAGCCCCTCTGCTCGCCCTCAGCCCACCATCTATACGGTGCGAGCGCCGCGGGTCTGCCATCCTCCAGCGTCGCCATGGCTGGAGAATCCCTCACCTCCGCCTCCCAGCCTCCGAGGCCCGGACTGCGCCTCGGCACGTAGACCCAGCGGCTCCTCCGCGGCTCCTAGCTCCCTTGCCTCCACTGTCACCCGTCGATACACGATGGATTATCCTCTGTGTTTCCTTGATTAAAGACTGTTCTCATTTACTTGTGCCTCCAGCGTGTTCCCTCAACAGCGTAACGTGACATTTATAATTAAAAGTCTGACATTATGTCTACTTTCCCCTTGTTATTATGGGCATTTATATACACAATAAACTGTATCTGGATTTTATTAGATGTACATTTTTGTGAAGAATGAGAGCTTTAGCATATTCAGTATATAGGTTTTATTAGTATCAGCACAATAATCTGTAATCTCTCTTTCCACACATCATTATTATATCAGCGAAATCTAATATCACTCGACGTGTGTATTGATATATTGGTAAATGAACCAACATCAGTACATATGTATATATTGAATAAAACATTTCTTGAATTTTTAAACTTGCAGTTACCCTGTTTTTCAGTTGAATGTGTGCCTGTTTCATAAAGTATAATATTCTAAGGTGCATGATATTTTTTGAGCTTGTAACAGTTTATGAATAAAAAAAAAAGATCTTAAAAAGCCTTAAATTTGATTTTAAAAACTCTGCCGATACCCTGTAGTGTCATTATTCATCTCAAGGCAGTTCAGTGTTCAGTTCAATAACTGTGAAGTTCATCCATTTATTGCAGCAACTCTTCTTGCATCTGACATGTTTGTGTGCAACTTGCAGGGCTGTGAAATTCTCCGCCAAACTCATGGGACAAGCCATGGCCAAGAGAGTCAAAGCCACCATCTTGTTCGCCACAGAAACTGGGAAGTCGCAGGACTATGCAAAAACGCTCTGTGAGATTTTCAAGCATGCATTTGATGCCAAGGTAAGCCCATTGTTCTTAAACCGCACATAATAGATTGACATCTGTGCGTGATTCTTAAAACCCTTCCCATCTTCTATTCATCCCCAATGAATGCCTTCAGTGGATTTGCACGTAAACATTGATGTAAACAAAATGACAAAGAATATTGACGTAAGACACATGTATCCCCTTAGTTTCACAACAAAATCTCCCTTTCAATTCAAGACTGTAGATTGCAGAGTGAGAAAGCTACTTTCACACCAGGGCGTGCTATGCGATGGCTTACACAGATGCGTCTTTTGCCACAATTACTTTTCCTCCAATACCATCAAATTCCAAGAATCAACTCGCGCAGGCATCGAGCTGTAGGTTAAGATAAGATCCCATTACACTCAAAGCTATGTGATGTATAAAAGTTGAACATGTATTTTGCCTTGGGATAGCAGTTAAATGCAAAGTTATTTTTATAATCTAGCAGAATAATCAATCTCGTTCATGTGCACTTGTTATTACGTGATTTACATGCAGATGACGCAGATATACCGCTTCTCTCTCTCTCCTCATGTCCTGAAGGCGTTTGCCCTGCCACCCGCACTGATGCGTCTTTTCTGTTAATTGTATCATGGCGCATTAGCTGCTCGTTAGGCGCCGTACGAACTGTTCAAATTCCTCTACACCCCTTTTGGCGGTACGTTAGGATCAAGAGATAACGTGCCTCCCATTCTTGATGCACATTGTGTGGTTTTTCACTCTCGAAAACATTGCCTAAAATCTCTCCAAACGCTGATCTAATATCCAAACTTTTGCTCCTGGCCTAGAAATGAGACAGAAAAACCAATCACATCAAAATGGCCATGTCTAGTGGATGAAGCGTTATATATGTTTTCACAAACAGTGCAAATAACTAGATTACATGCTTGCTGGTGCAAAAGTGGCCACTGTGATCCTTGAATGTTTTAGGTGGTTGCTTACTGGCCCAAGTCAAGAAAGTCCATCCACAAGTGCAATATTCTGAGTGATAGACAAGGCTTGGGTCCCTTATTCAGTTGTCATAGTTCAAACTGACCAGTGTAATACTTAGGGTTTGTGATTTGAATGAAGTGTACGTCACAGTCACATTCCCTGACTCTCCCCACTGTCTCCTCTCTCTTATGTCTAAATTAAAAAAAATGGCATAAAAACGACAATAAACTAATAAACAACAACAATAGGACTGATACAACTATTTAGATGGATGATGTTTGTACTGAGGTTATAAAATCATGTAGATGTAGCAGCACAAGAGAGTTGTCATATGTATTATGCTATATTATTTGATCCTGCAGGTGATGTCCATGGATGAATATGACACCGTCGACTTGGAACACGAGACACTTGTGTTAGTGGTGACAAGTACGTTCGGCAATGGGGACCCTCCTGAGAACGGAGAGGTGAGTTATTAAAGTAGAAGTTTGCTTTAGCGCGCTAGTATTTCAATGAGCACATCAATCATTTTGTTTTGCTTTGAATCAAATTGTCAACACTTAGAATGTTCTCATCATGATGATAAAGGACTTCACACATATACTGTACAATGGAGAACCTGCATTATGCTGGCAGGTCCTGGTTGAATTTGTGATTGAGAACATGCGTGGGAAGGGCCAGTAACTTCTCTCCTGTTTTTCTTTCTCCCCTTTTTCACTCTACAGAAATTTGGTGCGGCACTGATGGAGATGAGACATCCCACCACCAGCGTAGAAGACCGAAAGTGAGTGTGTGCGCGAGTGGAGACCCGAGCGAGTGATTTTCTTCTCGTCCTCCCACCCATCTGCTTTCCCATAATTAATTTTTTTCAGTGTTTCAGTTCACACACCTACTACTAAGTCTAACATATATGCAACAGGCACACACATTAACACGTAACATGCATTTCTTCTCTCTTCTTTATGCTGGAACCATTCACATAAACACACACACAAAAAAATCTCTCTCTCTTTCTGTCCCTCAGGACGTACAAGGTGCGTTTTAACAGCGTCTCTTCATATTCTGATACCCGCAAATCCTCCAGCGACGAACCTGAATCCAAAGCCAACTTTGAGAGCACTGGACCACTTGCTAATCTCAGGTACTGTACTGCCTGTATTTGGAGAAAATATTCAACATTTTAAAAACATGTCTGGGTTAATTCACCTCAAAATCAAAAGAAGGAAAAAATCAAAATCATGCCAAAAAGTCGTTTGATTAATTACGCCACAATTCAAAATGTTTTTGCATTAAAAAAGCACAAAGCATAAGCATATTTCCTCCCAGATTCTCATATATAAAATTATATATGAAATTTACTTTATTAAAATAAATGATATTGCATATAATATTATATAAAAAAAAAAAATTGTATTTAAGAAATAATTTATTTATTATGTGAATTTGTATTGTACTGGCTTTAATTGATGACTGATTTCAATAATTGAACAATAAATAAATAAAATTACATTACAGTAATTCAGGCAAAATGTTTTTGCAGTGCAAAAATTCTTAATGGTCCTAAAGCAGACCTAAATTTAATTAAAATTAATTTTCTTTATGGAAAATAGTTTTACTTGTTTTCTTATTGTCTCTTGTAATTTTTTTCTTTTGATTTTGTGGTGACTTGAACTTGTTTTTATAATTTTCTCCTATAATTTTCTTCTCTTTGGTTTCTTCCAGTGTCTGTGTGATCCCTCTGGATTTCAGTCAATAATAAACTTTTTTTTTTTTTTTTGACAAATTATGCCACAATTCAAAAACTTTTTTAATGCAAAAAGGCTTAAAATGGCTTAAATAGATACATGATTTCAATGACAAACAAACAAACAATAAACAAATAAATAACCACTGTAAAAATTATTCAAAATAACTCAAAAATTTACGTTTAGTTGCTGCCTTAAATTCTTAAATATACTGTACATTAAATAAAATTACATTAAATTGACTTAAAAATCAAGTTGAATTTGAAATGTAAAAAGTTTAAATTGTCCAACTTATTTTGATGAGTTAAAGTAATGTAAGAACATAAGTTGCCATGCTTTACTGATCATATAATTGTTTTTACAGTGAGGGAAAATGTTGCAATGCACAAATTCTCAATGGTCTTAAATTAGGCCTACATTTCTCAAAATTAATTTCTTTATGCAAAATATATTTACTTGTTTTCTCATTTTCTCTTGTATTTTTTTTTTCTTTTGATTTTGTGGTGAATTTGATTTGATATTCTCCTATGTGTGTGTTTGTGTATTTGTTTTCTCCCGGTGTCTTTGTGGTCCCTCTGGCTTAAATTGAAGTTCATCAACTTCTTGAAAACTAAAAATACAAAGAGCAAAAGAACAGAGAACAACCATCTAAAATAAGTTTAGTTTGAAAAGAAAATCCATCCTGAAGCAATCAAAAGAAATTTCACACTTTTTGCAAATCAGCTCTGACTTGTGAGCTTTGTACGTATGCATGCGTAACATCCTCTCTGGCCTTGAATTTCATCCTTGTTTAGTTTTCATAGTTTCAGGATCAAAGCTCACAGCCCCTGGCCTGATGTCCACAACCACCCCACTCTTATAATACGCTTCGTTTTGTTTGTGTTCATGTGCTTAAAGTGTTTTCAACACTCTGTTTCTCCCATGCAGATTCTCTGTGTTTGGCCTTGGCTCTCGGGCATACCCACACTTCTGTGCGTTTGCCCACGCAGTGGACACGCTGTTCGAAGAGCTCGGTGGGGAACGAATCCTGCGCATGGGAGAGGGAGATGAACTCTGCGGCCAAGAGGAATCCTTCAGAACATGGGCCAAGAAGGTCTTCAAGGTACTGCCATAAGCGAGCAGTGGGCTACAGTCACTAGTTTGCATGTATTGTTTTTAAAATGAACTACACTGTAGAAACTATTTGTTGTCACCTATTAAAATCAAAATTAGGTTTATATTGGCTATCAAGTTTAGATTTGCAAAAAGTATTTATATTATGGGTTGTTCTGTACACAAATTTATATGATTTCAGAATTATTATTTTTTTAACCTTTTAACTACATTTTTTTTGGGTTGCAAACAATTTATTTTAGCTACATTTAAATAAACAAAATGTTGAAAGTTAGTCGGCTAAATTTGTTTATTTAAATGTAGCTAAAATAAATTGATTGCAACCACTTTCCTTAAAATTTTTTAGTAAATTCGATGAATCATTTTTTTCAGTGCAGAGTACAAGAACATACCTCACAAATAGTAATAGACTACTATAACGATAATTATTTTGCCCTTTTTGGGGCTTTATAATCACAGATTCTATATTTGAAAAAAAAATATCAGCATTTGTTTTTGTAACAGAATGCAAAAATAAATAATTGCAAAATTTAAGCTGTTATTTAAAGAGCTTGTTGGTGTAGTCAGGTTGATTCAGTTGTACTGTATTAAATATATTTTCTTACCTAAATAAGAACAGTTAATTTGGATTTTATTTTTTATTATGCATATTTAAATTTACACATTTTACGCCTAAATTATATATTTAGTGTATATTTCTTGTACTGCACTTATACTTTTCTTATTTATTATTATTATTGTGTTTTTTCATTGACATTTTTAAGGCTATAAAACATTTACATTGTATATACTGCATGCATACTATTTAATGATGTCTTTATTGTTTTAATTACTGTGTATATACCTTTTTATTTATTTTTTAAATGCTTTTAAATGAGTTTTTATCCCATTTATCCCAGGCTGCATGTGACGTTTTCTGTGTCGGCGACAATGTTAATATTGAGAAAGCGAACGATTCCTTGATTAGCAACGATCGTAGCTGGAAGAAAAGCAAGTTCCGGATGACATACACGGCGGAGGCACCGACACTAACGCAAGGTACATTCATCAAGGAATGACTCATCATTTCAGAAAGCCAATAAGCTTTTATCAAATTAAATGATGTGAATGGCCAATTTATCGCCTCAGTTTATGAGGCATGCCAATTGACTCTTAAAGGGACTGCCATTTTAGTGGCTCATTAGCTTGACAAGGATTGTCTCAGCACCGTGTTAGCATTACCCAGAGGATTGTAAACACTTCCTTATTCAATTGATTAAAGTGTAAAGAATGCATTTAGGGCTTTCAAGCTTGATTTCCTATATCACAGACTTTTTACCATTGCATCTAAAGTCCTCGAAATGATCTTGAAATGGGCGTGAGTTTTATAGCAAATGAAGTTGTAGGGCCGCTAAATTGCCATTTGATGTTTAATATGGTCTAATTTCACACAGCATGTTTTAACTGTTGATTGGTTTCTGTGTCCACTCTCAGCGCTTTACAACATCCATAAGAAGAAAGTTTACGGGGCCAAATTTTTGATGAGACAGAACCTACAAAGTGCCAGATCGAAGTATGTTTTTGCTAATATTCTGTCTAATTTCTAATTTTCTCCAATTTACATTCATATTAAAGTCTTTGACATTAAGTTTTGCCTTAAAAACATTTGTGACCAATTCACCTTAGCAATCTGCCATCATTTTCTAATGCTTGTCTATGGAGGATTGGTGTGTTTGGATGGCTCTAAACTGAATCTTACATAAAAAAAAAAAATTTAATCATATAAAATATATTTATATATAACATAAATTCTATGAATATAAATATATACATGTAAATAGTTTCAAAATATATACTGTATGTGTGTGTATTTATATATACATATTAAATATACACAGTACACACACATATATTAGGCTATGTAAACAAAAACCTTTATTTTGGATGCGATTAATCGCGATTAATCGTTCGACAGCACTATTTTAAATTTAACATATAAAAATGGCAGATAAAATGCTTTGCAATGTCACACTTCATTCCAACCTATTCTAACAAAAATACCCAACGTGGGCAAAGCTTAGCAAAGGGACAATTTCTCTTGTGTAGGAAAATATCTTTTTTAATCTCTTTAAGAATGACTGCAACTGTTTCATATTAACATGTTTTCTTACTTCCTGTCTACTAGCCGATCGACTATATTTGTGCGTCTTGATGCCAACAACCACGAGAGCCTGAAATACTTGCCTGGTGACCATTTAGGCGTTTTCCCTGGCAACAACGAAGTTCTAGTTACGACTCTTATTGAGAAACTGGAGGACGCACCGCCTGTCAATCAGATTGTGAAAGTGGAGTTCTTGGAAGAAAGAAACACAGCGTTGGGTAACTATGAGTTTTATTTTCGTCATCATGATAATATGCAAATATCTGAAACTAATCCAAAATATTAAAAAATACTATGATACGCAAAAAAAATAACATTCTAGCTTCAAGCATCTTAGAGGCTTAAATTACAAATTTCTTGCAAATGTCAACAAATGAAAAGCAACTTTCCAAAATAACTTTTCTATCAAACATCTGCTTTGCTATCTTATGGAAAGTGACAGCATCTACATAAAAAATAATCTGAAGCTGACATTCAGAGGAGAAGAGTCAGAAGAGAGATGTGATACCTCTAGTATTTCATCCATACAAGTCTGCCAGACCCACAATCAAATATGATTTTGTGAACACAGAGCAAAGGATGGATATGCCATTGTCTGCCGAACAATGTGTTCATCAGGTATTCTGGTGTTCATGATGAGCCAAGGATCAGGGTAACCTGGTCCATAGTGCTGCTCATGTCACATTTACTGGAAAGTGAGCTAGCTTTCACTCGTAACACTTACCATAAAATGACAATGGCAACCATAGTTTCCACTTGGATACTATATTAAAACAGTTACTGAGTATATAGTTTTATAAAATGTATATACTATAAATTTAATATTTTATATATTAATTAATTAAATTATTTATTTTTAAGATTAAACAAGCTTGCACTAATTGGTCACTACCATGCACTAACATCACTGAGCATGTATTTACAGTATTGATTATGCTTAACCCGACAATGTGTCATATGAATGCATGTAAATGTTTCTTTCTGAACAGTTAAAAATGTATAAAAAAGGATTTTTCTTTAACTTCACCAGCTTATTTGATGTTTGCATGCAACAATAAATTCAAATCTCATGTAAATGCAATTCTTTTGCATTGTTAGGCTTTTATAATAAGCTGAGCCTTGATAGTTATCAGTGCAGTCTGCATGTAAGCACTCATTGCAACATTTACATACTGAATTCAAATTATTATTCAATTGTAAAACACACCATTTAAAAACCACATGACAGCTTAATCGCTTGATTTAAAGGTGACATATCATGAAAATCGGACTTTTCCAGGTTTTAAGTGCTATAATCAGGTCCCCGGTGCATCTACCAACCAAGGAAACGTGAAAAATATTAACCCAGTAACTTTGTTTTGGTAAGACTATTTCGGCAAGCGTCTGAGAAAACGAGCGCGTCTGATTTGCAAAGGGATCTCATTATAATATTACCGCCCCTTAATCTGTGAGTTTCCAAAGAATGAATGCAGGATTGATCTGCTTTGGCTTCATTATGATCTATGACAGAGATATTTAGATTAAATAGACAATTTTGGCATCCAGAACTTCACCCGCAGGGACAGATTTTGATGCTGTCATGCTAAATATTTTCAGAAATATCTCTCTGGATACTTTAAACAATGTCATGGCAATTCTTTGCTGGGGGTTCTGTAGGATGTCCCTTTTTATATTTCGTTGCTGTGTTAAAGACACTGCATATCTTTTTGCAGAGCTGTACATGTACAGTCTATCAGTTTTAATGATAGGACCTACTTGTCTTTTAAAAAGGTTAGCTCAAGTGAGATTCCTCGCCTTACCTTGTTGAGAAATATGTCAGGATGACTGAAAACTGGTCAGTGACCTTTAGAGAGGGAAAATGAGGTTGCTGCAATTCTTTCCCCTTTATCTGACAATCTTTACAGATGAAGTCTGCATTATTGTGGACAAAAGAGGTATTTTAACAAAAGTAGATGCCTTGGGCACATTATCAGTGTACAGTTCACCCAAAAATAAAAACTCATCCACATGTCGTTCCAAACACATATGACTTACTTTCTTCCATGGGATATACATATGGCAAAGAAAATGTGCCTTGGCACATGATAAAACAAATCACAATAAAAGCAGTCCAAGTGTAGTGTACTTTATATTTCAGGTCCTCAGAAGGCATATATCAGTTTAATATGAGAGAAATAGGTAAAATTTAAGTCATTGTCCACCATAACTCTAAAATCTTATTTGTATTCATGAATGTCTGAATATCACATCAAGTTATACAGCAATGATGGCAAACCTCATTCGTTCTTAAAGTATGAATATGCAAAAGTAAGAGTGAGAGTTGGGAGAAAAAAGGCCAGATTTTCAGGTAAATTTCAGAATTTTCCTCACACAAACCTATATCATATGACTAAATTATAGTGCACATGTCATATTGACATCTTTTATTGTGCTCCTTTTGTCATCTTTGGAGCTTGATATCAATGCATGTCGCCTTCATTTTTTATTGTATGGGAAAGAGGACTTCCACTGAAGAAAGACGAAAATTTATTTTCTATCCATTAAGCAATTTAAAGTTTTGCAGTACACTCTTAAAAATAATGGTTCTTTATTGCCATCTAAGGTTCCATGAAGAACCTTCAACAGAAGCAATAAAGGTTCTTTATTCTGTTCTTTAGATTATAAAATGTTCTTCACACTAAGAAAAAAAAAAGCTTTTTTGAAGAACCATTCATTGAAAGCTTCTTTGAGAAACATAAAATGATGGTTCAAGGTATCACAGCAAAAAAAAAAAAAAAAAAGTGAAGAGGGAAGTCCATGTAACACACAGTTAAGGTCAAAAGTTTACATCCCCCTTTCAGAATCTGCAAAATGTTAATTATTTTACCAAAATAAGAGGGATCATACAAAATGCATGTTATTGGTTATTTAGTACTGACCTGAATAAGATATTTCACATAAAATATGTTTACGTATAATCCACAAGAGAAAATAATAGTTGAATTTATAAAAATGACCCAGTTCAAAAGTTTACATCCCCTTTATTCCTAATACTGTGTTGTTGCTTAAAAAAATGATGCATTAAGAGCCTTTTGAACAGAATGGAGATACATTAAATTTGTCTTATTTTGCCTAAATATCATATTTTTTTCATTTAGTACTGCCCTTCAGAGGCTACAGAAGTTAGTTACATGTTTCCCAGAAAACAAAATAAGTTAAATTAACCCTGATCTTCAAATTCAAAAAAAGTTTTCAAACCCCCCCCCTGCATATGATTCCCTCAGTTGTCCTCAGTGTAAAAAGATGGATCTCAGAATCATACAGTCATTGTTGGAAAGGGTCCAAATACACAAAAATGATGGAAAACCAAAAGAATTTGTGGGACCTGAAGGATTTTTCTGAAGAACAGCAGGCAGTTTAACTGTTCAGGACAAACAAGGGACTCACGAACAACTATAACTAAACAAAAAACACAGCTGTGTGTGGATAATTCAGGTAACAACACAATATTAAGAATTTTTATAAATTCAACTATTATTTT